GCAATATGCTGACTCTGTAAATCGCTTAGAGAGGGCTGAAAGCCCTATGAAGCGGTATATAAGTCTAACTGCTATTGCTATTGCTATTGCTATATATGCACTATACTTCCTTCAATTCCCTTATCGGTCAATAATGGAATACTTTCTGATCTTCAGACTTGGTTTTTTAATGGTTAAAGACTAATATGATATGAATATTTTCCCAAAGCAGAATAAAAAGGGTATTACACGCTTTTAGCATATGTTTTGCATAGATTTCGAAATGAATGAATCATACAATTTTTCTCATCAAAGAGGCAGTGTCAGCCAGACTAACTTTCAGGAGTGTATGCATTCAGCCGTAATGCCTAATTTTTCATATAATATATGGTACTTAGGCAAATGCATCGGTGCCTAATTGAAGTATCATTTTCTATGTGATATCCAACTCATAGATAAATATCTTTTTGAGAAGGGAAAAAAAGTATCCCTGGTTTAATTTTACCAGAGATAGACCTACTGTATCTTTTGATTAAATTTATCGTTACTTCCACTGAACAAAAACCAACATTTAGAACACGGACAGTCTTACCATTAGGCTGTTGCTTCAAGTGATAGACATCAGAACATATTGGAAAGGTAGAAAACTCTGGGTATGTCACAACTTACAATATATGCCCCTCAGGCAACCATATGATAAAGAATATTGCATTGTTATAAGATGTCCTGTATGAATTAATTGCTAGTCTCCCAGCGGTGGGTTTCCATTTTTTTTCACTACCGGTTCGTGTGCACATGTGCAGAAGCATCCAGGCGGGTGTGCAGAGCATCCTGCCACTGCTACTACCAGTTTGCCCAATCCGGGCCGAACTGGGAACAACCCACCTCTGTAATCTCCACAGTCTCTATGCACGTAATAGTAGTTATTTCATACCCTTGAGCTAGTTCTGGTATGGGAGATAGTGTCAAAGCAGGTTAGGAGTACTGAAAATGAAGGTTTACAGTTATCATGTTAGGAAAGTTCAGAAACAGCAACCACACATTGAATAAGTATGAAAACCTTCCCAACATATTTGTATTTCATGTTTGTGTAACTTTCCCACACAAGATTAGCACAGGTTCTCCACACACACCAAGTCCACTAACTTCCCAGACTAACTTCCTTTTCCTGGACTTCTAAATGCGTAGTTGGAAGATGCATCTTCTCTGGCTAACTTGTTCTACAATTGCCTCTCTTGTGATTTTTAAATATAAGGAGGTTCATCTGACCATATCTACTATACCAATCATACTGTGATTGTCATGTAGTTATCATCTATGGAGACCAATGAGAATCTGTTTCCCTATCTGAAACGGATGTGATGACATTTCCATATTGATAATGTCAAAAATGTCAAAATGCTTGAATTTAACAAAAAAAAATTTCTGATATGAACATTCAATAAAACAACCTTGGAAAGGTTAGGACATTAAAAAAATAGGTACCAATGAGAGAACTTCTTTTTTCCTCCTGACCTACTGCTTTTTAATATACAGGGTGTCTTTTATCCTGGATCAAAAAATTGTTAGTCGTGTGAATACTCACCTGCAACTAAAATGTCACTGCACAAACAGGTTTAGTACCTCAATAAAAACTAGAACTTAAAAGCACATCTGTATATGACACACATCTGACATATACAGATTAATTCAAACCAGAGAGGTACAAAGGAAAGAAACCAGCCTTACAGCTTACAGCTCTTGATAGAAGAGTCACATTGCTGTTTCGCTTATCCATGGAAAGATTACCTAGCATGCTAAAATATTTACTTATAGAGAGCAAGCCTAAAAGACTGCTGTACTATATTTAAAAAAAAATTGTCTAGCCAATAGAAACAGTTCATTTCCTAAACAAAAACAAAGGGAAAGCCTAGGATAAATCAAACTGCTTCCCCCCAAAAATCACCTGGAGTTTTATGCTTGAAATCACACCAACATATCAACCCGCTGCAAGTAATTATAAATGCTTCTTTGCTTCTGTTGGCTTCAGGGAAGAAAAAGGTAATGACTGAAGAACTAGAGGGAAAACACTATAGTTATAATTTGGCAACCTGACCACTGAAAACAGCATCTACCTACAAAGTGGGAGGGACAATGTAAGTTTAGAGAAAAGTTCCAATTCATTTCCCTCTTGCCTTTCATATCTATAAACAATAATCTTCGGAAACTTTTTCTTTCTTACACAAACAGGGCTGCAAAGTTGGGAAAATAAATGCTATGATACCATGTTCATGCCTAGGGGCTATTTAATATTTACAAATCACCTATGAAAATGTTTATTTTAGACAAGCTGAAAGGAAATTTTGTGCATACCAAAGTCTTGCAAGCAGCATTCCCTAGCATGCAGTTAAAGCTACTTAACAATCAAAAGGTTTCGTCTCTTTAAAAACATGCACAAAGAGAGTCTTCCTGTTGAAGGGAAAAACCCTTACAAAGAATTAGTATTTTCAATAGATCTTAAGGGTGTCCCTAAGAATCTGCAGCTTAAGAGATGCAGCTAAGATAGAGCCCATCTCTTTACCTCAGAAGACCTTTTATTAACTAGAAGGACAATACAAGAACCAAACAGTTTTTGTCTTAATGGAGACTCTTCTACTAGAAATTCAAAAGTAAAAAAACTCACAAAAAAATGTTGAATTTTACTGAGCTTGAATATTTGGTAAGAACAATTGCATGAACATATAAGTGTGCTGACAGTGAAGGACTTCCATCATGACTTGTTATATTAAGTAGCATTGAATAAAACACCAAAGTTGTTGTTGTTACTACGACTACTACTACTACTACACTACTACTAAACCTAATACTAATAACAACTAATACTACCAATAGTAATAGTAATAATAACAACAACCACCATCAAAGGTTCTTGAAAACTACAGATATGGTATGTAATCTAAGATACTGTTCTTTTTTAGGGTCTGGATTATAATTTATTAAAATGAATTATCAATCTATCCCATAGTTAATATCCAGATCAACATTTTTCAACATCTCACATTGGAAAGCAAAATTGAAAAAAAAATTAAAAGAAATGCAAAAACTTTAATTTTCTTAAACAAATCCAGTAATCTCCAACTCTTCTCCCTCATCCTATCTCTGTAGATAAGCACACCTCCTCATTTACAGCCTGGGACTCTTTCCATCTTATGCAGGATTGGGAAACCAGCCAGCCAACTTTTCCCTCTTCCTTTTCCGCCACATGATTGTTTGAAACATCAACGAACAGGATAGCCCAGCTTTCCCCAACCAGATGCCCTCCAGATGTGCTCCGCTCGCTGGAGAGGATGAGTTCTGTAAGCCATCCAGCACATGTAAAGGGCGCTGCCTTGGGAAAAGCTGGGTCAGCTTATTAGAAAATAGATATCAAAAGAGATGATGATGATGTGCATCATCATGATCATTATTATGATCATGATGATGTTAATCATGAAACAGTCACAGATGTGGAGGGGGGGTATTATTTCTACTGCCATCCTTTAGACTCCAAAAAACCTGCTGTGAACACAGTGGTCCTTATTCCCAGGTAACTATGTCCCATGGGTAGTGATAGTCTTATTAATCCCCTTGATTTTGAACCCAAAGCGACTCATCCATAGGCAAGTGGCTCGCATATACTCCAGACACTGACAAGACGGGCGCAGCACAGGGTCTTCAGGCAGCAAGCCGCCCCCTTCGCCGACTGCTTCGGCCCCCTCGCCACCCCCTCCCTCCCTCCGGCGTCCTTTCTTCTACTCACGTTTGTGCCGTGGGAGAGATGCTTCCACTCCTTGTCCTTTGAGCTCCTAAATGCATTTGTCTGCATTTGTCCGAGCAGCGAAGTTCTAACCGAAATCAGAAGCCAAACTCTCCCGGACCTCTTAGGGTTCAAGTACTGTCCATGAAAACGACCTCCGGAACCTGGGAGTCGCTTCTTTTTGGCTTTTGCCCAGCGCCCGCTTCCCTTTTAGCGTTTCTTCCACATAGCTTACACTCCACGGGAGAGGGAAGTTCACGCGTGGCTCGGAAAAGAACGTCCTGTGTGTGTGTCTGTGTGTGCCTTTGTGGTTTGGAGAAGATTGCCTTTGTTTGTTTATTCGTTTACAAAAGTTGCTGCGCTCGACTTGCTTGCAATTGGACTTGGGGAGATCCGTCAGCGAGGAGACCTTGGCGATGGAAGGCAGGCAGCAAAGGAAGAGCCGTCGGAACTGGGGAAGAGGCAGCACCTCCAAGAAGACTAAAGGCTTAGCAAGGGGGCGAGGTGAGGCGGGGGAGGGTGGCGGTGGTGGCGGTGCGGCGAGGAGATTTCAGATTGCTCTTTGCAGCGTCCTGAGTGGCAATAAGCGCAGGGATTCGGCGCTGAAAGGCGAGAGCTTCTGGCTTTGGAGCGGAGCGAGCAGCCAACCCCAAAGCAAAGCAAAGCCTCCCCACCGCGGCTCGGGTGTTGAATTTCATCGCTCACTGACTTGCGATTACATCATCAAACCCATCTTGAAAGGAGCTCGCGCTGCCTCCAGTCCCGCGCGCTTCTCTTCCCCGCCGCCGCCGCCGCCGC